AATTCTAGGATGAACCTAAATATAGCTCTGGAGGGTTTGTGTTTTCTGTGGGGGCAAAAATCTGAAGGTTCTTTCTCTAGAAATTAGTAAGCCAGTGCTTTGAAGTGGTGCTAAAGTGTTTCTCTGAAAGTTGACTCCAAGTTTTTTTGGAGAGAACTAGTTAAAATTAGTGAAACTGTATTCAAACCCAACAAACTTACTAATGCTTGTTAAGCTGCATTGGAATTTATCTCTGGTTAAACCAGGGTGAATCCTGATAAGATTTCTTTGTCCTGGATAGATCTGAAGGTATTTGGAGGGGGTCTCTATGAAATAAGAACAGATGACTGGTTTTGTTGGGGTTCATGCTTTCTTTTTACCATCTTATTTGAGATATTATTCTATATACTTGCAGGATAATAAAAAAATGAAGTGAAAGCCTGTTTTATATGTACAAAAATTTAACCTGAAATCAATCCAGCAGATATTTATTGCTCTTTCTGTATACAAAATACTGTCTCGTATACTGGGAATGGTAGGAAGAGCACAGCTTGGAAGCTACCTTCAAACTGTTTTGTTTCAGTGGTGGTTATCAAACGTGGGGATTTAGCTCAGCAGCACAGCACCTGCCTGGCAAGCGTAAGGTCGTGAGTTCGATTCCCGGTACCGGAAAAAACAAAAACAAAACAAAACCAAAAAAACACCTGGTATCGGAGTCAACTGAGAAACAGCTGAGTAAAATAGGCAAATCTGATAGCAGCACATGGGAAATCTATTTATCAGTATCTACTAAAACTAAACATTTGCCTATTCTTTGACCTAGCATTTTATTCCTAAATATGGACCCAACAGCCAGGCAAAACACACGTGTGAGAACATTCATTGCAACACTATTTGTAAGAGCGCTGCAATTAGAGACTTGGAAATGACCCAAATGTTCATCAGCGGAACATCAATGAGAATAAACACACCACAAATACAGTGACAACATCAATTTTACAAATATACTGTTAAGCAAAGAAATCCAGACATGGAAAAGGATATAGTGTATAATTCTACTTAAGTTAATAAAAGAGGCAAAACAAGTCTATCAATCTGTGCTCTTAATAATCAAGATATTGACTACCTTTGGAGGGTGGCAGGAGGCAGAGCGTGGAGAAAGGGGTTCTGGGGTGCCAGCAGTGCTCTGTTCCTTGACTTGATCAGTTTCCTGGGTATGGTGACTTGTGAAAATTCTTCAATGTATATGCTTGTGATGTTACATTTTGCTACAAGTTTGCGGCATCATTAAATTAAGAATATAAGTATCTTTAAGACCTACCAAGTTAGAATATCTACTTGATGTAAGAATTTTTAAAAGTCAAGAATCTGTGTTTAACAAGCTGCCTATGGATTCTGGTGCAGCTACTCCTTTCGAGAAGATAGTATTTTCTATCTTCTTCCTAAGAGCTCGTCTCTCCCCTTCTACTAGGAGGGGTCTTTGTAGAAATCATTAGTGCATTATTGATTCATTACAATGCTATTCGAAGAAAGCTCTTGATCGTGTACCCCACTGATTTCCAAAATCTCTGTATTTAAGACGTCTGATCTGGTACCTGCCCAGGATCCAAAGAGGAAAGACATTCTAAAAGAACTAGATCTTAAAGAGATGGATGGGTTGAGAGGGGGATGTGACATTTTTCTAAGGAGACTAGATTGTTATTGTGTTTTTAAACAAAATTACCATATTGGAGCAAACAGGAAGAGTGCAGCTGTGAAGCAAATAGAATCAGCAGACTACACCAGGATTTCGTGAGGATTTTGCCTAAATACTGACAAATTGTGTCAGGCAGAGCGGGTGTCTTGAGGGTATGCATTTTGTTGGTTTGTTATTCTGCATAGGCTCACGCTGAGCAAAGAAAGGAACAGAACTCACTTGTGAATACGTTAAGAGAATATGAAAACACTCAAGAACCAAAGAGGGAAGTCTTATTCTGCAAGACTCTGATAAGAAGCAAGAGTGCATCTACAGACAAAACCAGCTTTGGTCACTGAGTTAAATTTAATAACAAACAAATATTCCCCACAGCAAACCCCCCTGTTTACTTAACATGGACAGTTTTGGACACAAGCAAAATGGTCTGGGTAGGAATTAAGTAAATCTGGCATGTGAAATCTGCTTTTCAGAAGTCAGTGGTGGTCTGAAGTCAACAATATGACTAGAGTGCCCCACATCACATGATGACCACACCCGGCAGTACCGGTCTTTACATGTGGCTCTGCCCTCGGTGGCCCGAGCTGGATCCTCCAGCAGGAAGGTCTCCCCTCTCACAGAATGACAGCACTCCACTGGGGTTCTTTCGGATGTCTTTTCATAGAATCCTCGCTACATCCTGAGAAACGAGTTCCATTTTCCCATTTTACAGACAGGATGGCTCTTCTGCAGGAACAGAATTGGTCAAACCTGGCTGAATCTAAATCTCAGGAGAAAGCCCCCAGGGAGTGAGAGAGTCTCACATGCCTGCTCTTCATGGTCCAGTTCCACTTCCTGCTACTTGGGATCTTGGGGGCATTTCCTTAATCTCGTTTTTCCTGTCTGTAAAGCAGATGTCTTAATAGTGCCTCCCTCAAAACATTGTGTGATTATGGGAGACAGACATGTAAATCACCTAGCACATGCTTGGCACAATGAAACTGCTCGGAAAATATTATTTCTCGGGTCCCTTGATCTTCTCAAGACTTTGTCTCCTTGGGAACCAAATTGTATTCAGATTTTTACACTCAATCACCGAGACCTTAAGCAGGTCATTTTTAGTCTATTGCATCTTGCTTTTTAGCTCCGGGCACATAAAAATGCTGAAATATAGTATTCTCTTTGTGTTTCTGTCTCTCTTTTGTCTGTCTCTCTGTCTCTGTCTCTGTCTCTGTCTCTCCCTCTCCTTCTCTCTCTGTTTTGGTTTGGTTTGATTTGATTTTTTTGAGACAGGGTCTCACTATATAGTTCAGACTGGCCTTGAGCTCACTGTATAGCCCAACCTGGCTTCAGACTTATGGTGATCCTCCTGCCTCAGCCTCCCAGGTGCTGGAATTACAGGTGTGTGCCACCATGCCTGGCTTCTGTCTCTCTTCTCTATTGAGAAAAGAAATATGTGTGTAAAACATTCACTTTTATAGAGTCAATATGAATTTTCTCTTGTGCTGACCACTTTAGACAGTCTCCTCACATATCTCTCCTTCCCTTGATTGGATAACTGAAAAGTGGAAACGTCAGTTTGCCTCAAGAAGCCTTTTTTTAAAAATTAGTTTTATTGGTACACTTTTGATATACATGATGATCATATTCATCATAGGCAGTTTGTACCTGTACATCAGGAAAACTTTTTACATATTCAGCATACCTGTCATTCCATTGATTCTTTTTTTTGTTTAAGATTTTTATTTTTATTTTTTTTGGGAGGCAGGGTCTCACTGTGTAGTTCAGGCTGGCCACGAACTCATGGCAGTCCTCCTGCCTCAGCCTCCAGAGTGCTGATTTTAGAGGAGTGTGCTGCCATTGATTCATTCTTGATGACCACTCATCTGGAGTGAATTCCCAGGGTGGACTGGTGTAACAGAGCCCCGCGGCTGAGTTAGAGCTGGAGCTCAGAACTGGTGAGGCACCTGGCACCGATCCGCAAGGCAGCCCCGGGGCCCCCTCCAGGGAGAAACTCGGACCCTGAGCACCACTGGCTTCAGAAATCTGCCTGTTCTCCAAGGCCATTTTTTGGGTATGCATAACTGATAGGCTGGTATTACCCCCGGGTGTCACATTCTGCTTAATAGCGTTGCAAATGAAAGAGCTGTTTGTACTAACCACTTAACACTTCTAGGCTTAATCCAATTTCCTCTTAAATGGGCTCAGTAGCTCATGTCCATGATTTTTTTTTTTTTTTTTTTGTGCATGTTTGCAGACATCTTTGCAGGGTTCAGAAAATAGCTTTGAAGGAGAAAGTCTGAAAAACTGGACTTCCTGTGGTCAAGCAAATTGAGAGCTTAGAGCCAAGGTCATTTGTCTTCTAAATGAAAAGGAAGGCTGAGTTGTTTTTGGATTGCTTTTTTGAGAAAAAAATCTTAACGTCAGAAACTTATGGGCACAATGCTGATTCCTTCCTCCCTCCCCTCTTTCCTTCCTTCCTTCCCACTTCCCTTCTTTCCTTCCCTCCCAACTTCCTTCCTCTCTTCCTTTTCCTTCCTTCCTTTCTTCCCTCCCACCTTCCTTCCTTTCTTCCCTTCCACCTACCTTCCTTCCTCCCCTCCCACCTTCCCTCCTTCTTTCCCTCCCTCCCATTCTCCTTCCATCTTGATCCCCTTTTCCTTTCCTCTCTTCTTCTCTCCTCCCGTCCTCTCCCCTTTCCTCTCCTTTGCCATGGTGCTGGGTATCAAACCCAAGGTCGCACATAGACTAGGCTACTGCTGTACCACTGAGCTACACCTTCAGCCTCCAATGCTTATTTATTTATAAATAAAATTACAGGCATTCTGACCTGTACTTTTAAAAATAGTATCCATAAAACTTGGAACAGTGCTAATACTTCATAAATGCTTAAACACAAAATTCATAAAATTTGTTGGTGACTCCATTTTTGGGGGGGTATAAAGGTTTAGAGAGCTTATTAGTGGACTGTGGTTTCTTCTTGCAAAGAATCAAATTCTTTTCTGCTATGACTCACACTAACAGGAAGACTGATGAAATATCTTTTCAGTGCTAACTGGAATGTGTTCTTTATTACTGAAAACTGCAGCAGAATCACTTAACATTGGAATCTCCCAAGATATGGCCAAGGCTGAATAACAGCAGTGAAAAATGTAACATTTTTAAAAAGGACTGTGGGGAGTTTTGCCCCTTTTGAACTTTTATAATTTTAATCAGAAGAATGAGTATGAGTGTAGTAATCATTATATGCACCACTATTATTCTGAAATATATGTTTACTTGCTTTGGAGACACTTTCCAAATGAGCTATATACTTCCTTATCACTAGGAATGGATTGTCTACGTTTTTAAAAATACAGAACAGAAAATATTTGGAAAATTCACTAATTGGAAAAAATTCCTGCGTTCCCCCTAATCCAGTACCCCGTGAGTTTTGTGGCACTTGTACTTATTGTATGAAAGAGAAAAACTTCTCCTCTGGGAATTCAGAAGCATGCAGACACTGGAGTGGGCAAGGAGAGAAGCAAGATCACCAGATTCTTTTTGTGAGAAGCTACTGAGTAACCTGGGTATGTTAGTTTCACTGGAGGTTTGCTCTAAGAATGTTTTCCCTGATTATATCCCTCTTTGAGATCTTTATTCCAGATAAAACGTTATTGCTTAGATAATTTTCTGGAATAAACTATAAAATTAGATATAAGAAATAAAAACTATCATGTCAATGTGCTTGATTGTAATTTGGTAGTTATAATCCATAATAGAGCAGCTTTTTAAAAAACTGATTTTCAGTCAATGTATGTTTTTATTTCTCAAGTAAATAGCTAGAAGTGGAATTTGATGGGCAAGTTTAGCTTTAAAAGAAATAATTTTTCCATTTAAATTCCTGAATTGGGTTTTTAGGGGAATTTTTTATTATGCTCTAGGCATTAAAATATACATCCTTAACTTATTACAGTCTGTTTAGAGATAATATTGTATCACTTCAACAAAAAGTAAAAATCCTATAGTAGTAATTCCCCAATCCTTGAACTACATTTATTTACACCTACTTATGTAACAGATTCTACGATATATTATTGTTATATCTGCTTTAAATTGTTGGTTAGCTTTGATAGAATTTAAGAGAACAAAAAATCATCTTTCATATGTACCCAAATAGTCTCTATTTCAGGGAGGATTCACTGCATTACCTTTCCATCTGGTACCATTTTCTTCCAATGTGAAGAACTTTGAGCATTTTTTTCAATAGTGCCATGATTCATTCTGGAAACAGGTTTTCAGACATTGGGAAATGTTTTTGTTTGCTTTGCAATATTAAGGATTGACCCCCAGGCCTCATGCATACTAGACAAGCCTTCTGCCACTGAGCTACTTTTAAAAACAATTTTTAATTTGAGACACGGTCTCACTAAGTTGCCCAGTCTGGTCTAAAACTTGTGATCCTTTGCCTCAGCCATCCAAACAGCTGGGATTACAGGTGTGCACCACTACAACTAACTATAAAAAAATTTTAACCCTTAATTTTTAAGCATATTTCACTAGACATCAAATTTAGACTTGATGACACTTTAACAATGTAATCACATTTGTTGCTGCTTTACATTGTTTCTAGTATGATATAAACCATTATTTATATTTTCTTCCACTCTATATCTTATCATATATCCTATTTTCTCTGTTCTTAAGAACTTTTTATTAGTAGTATATTTTGTAGTACGTCATGATTACATTCATTGTTGGATTTGGTACATGTATGTGATGCAGTTTAATTCTTTTTTCATCCTCTTCCCCTCCCTTGTCTGCTTATCTCTCCATTTCTTGGTCCCTGTCCCTTGGGGGGACATCTAGATACCATAACAGGTCCCCCACTATAATTATGTTGATGTTTTCTGATCTTTATGTCCAGTAGTGTTTGTTCGATGATCTTAGCTTCATCAGTGTCCTTTGTATGTATGTTTATAATTCTTATCTTTTCCTGTTGCATTGTTCACCAACATGTAGTGACCTCTGCCTCTTCTGATCAGTTTTGACTTGAAGTCTACTTTTTCTGAGACTAGGATAGCATATTTTGGGGTTCCTATTGCATGGAATATTACTTCCTATCCTTTGATTTTTAGTGTATTTTTTGGATTTAATGTAGTTCTTATATCCGATATACTTTTGGGTTTTGTATTTTCATCTATTTTACCAATCTGTCTTTTGACTGGTGAATTGAGACCATGTATATTTTGAGTTATTACTGATAGGTATTGCTTAATTCCTGCCATTGCATTATTTTTCTGTTTCTGATACCTCCCTCCCCACTGCTGCTTAACTACTCACTCTGCCTTGTATATTTATTCTATTATATTTTTGGCATTGTTGATTTCATTGTCTTTTTCTAGGGTGTCATTGGAGTGGTGGTTTAGTGGTCATTAATTTCTTAATGTGGACTTTTCATGGAGAAACAATTTCTCCATCAATTTTGAAAGATAGTTTTGCAGATTATGTAACTTCCTGGTTGGCAGTTGTTTTGTTTAGAACTTTAAAAATTGCTCCAAGTTCTCTTAGCTTTTAAAGTTTATATAAGTTTGGTGTAATTGTAATGGGTTTATCTTTATAAGTAAATTGTTGCTTTTAACATTCTAAGATTATATACTGAGGTGGGCTTCTGGGATTTTCATTGTTGTGTTAGGGAGAAGTTCTTTTCCAATCATGACTATTTGGGATTCTATATGCCTCACCTATGTGTATGTTAAAATCTTCCCCTCTTATTTGGAATAGTTTTTGCTATTATTTCAGTAAGCAAGTGTTCTTGTTGTTGTTTTGCTATTTGTGTTGTCTTCTGATTTTTTACTAATTCAAATTAATTTAAAATTAGTCTTTTTTACACAATCTAGCACCTGTTAGATCCACTTTTTATGGTCTCTTGTTTTCAAGGTATCCCTGTGTATGTGGGCTGGGCACAAACGTTAACCCTATCTTCCAGTTCTGACACTGTCCTCAGTTGGTCAGTTTTGCTGCCCAAACTTTCTATACAATTTTTAATCTCCTGGATTTCTGTTTGCTATCTTTGCATAGACTCCAATTCCTTAGAAAACTGGCCATTTGTATTTTGCATCTTTTAAAAAATTTTGCTGAGTTAACTGTCTCTTTATTAAAGTCTCCTGTAAATTTATTGATGATTTTGTAGATTGTCTATTCTCTGTTTAGTTATTTCTCCTGTGAGCTCACCAAGTACCTTATTGATCTTTTAAAAAGAATTAATCCTTTATAATTTCAAAGGATTCAGCTTTAAGTAAAAACAAATAATTCAGCTTTGTGACTGGTTTTGTTATTTTGGGGTGTGTGTGTGTGTGCTTCAGTTTGGGGGTTGATTATAGTGACAAGACTTTGTTGCTTACATGGAGATGTCTGTATTTAGTGTCTGCTTTCCAGTGATGCATGCTGGACATGGCTATGTATAGTCTTTGCCTATGTCCCAGATCCAACCTCTTCAGTTAATTTGGGAGGGGATGGTACAGTGTAATTGGCCTGGTACCCAGTTCTCTGGGAATAGACCACAGTATTGCTAACAACACAAAAACAATCCAGGTATTTGCACACAGAGAATACCAACTAATAGCAACAACTATTCCACTCTGGAAATAGCAAGAAACTCAGCAACAATAAAAGAGTCAGAGACAAACTACATAATGACATACATAAGAACCAATAATGTAGGCCAGGTGTGGTAGTGCACACCTGAAATCCCAGCATTTGGGAGGCTGAGGCAGGAGGATCATTGCAAGTTCAAGACCAGCCTGGGCTATACAGTGAGCTCAAGGCTAGCCTGAACTGCATAGCAAGACCCTGTCTAAAAGACAATAAATAAATAAATAAACAAATAAACAAATAAACAAATAAATAAATAACTTAGAAGAAAAAGGAAAAAAATCTCCAAATTCCAAAGATCCAGTGGAGAAGGGGAGAAATGAGTTCAAAAAATTTCCCATTTTTTAGTGAGTCTTTCAAAGATGTGCAGTCTTAGAATCCAGCAGATACTGGGGATGGATAATGAGTCATTGCTAAGACCTATTTTGTTTTCACACTCACATTTTTTTGTGTTAATATTGGATCTTGCCCTATCTTTCCAGCTGGGTGTGGGCAGACACCCTATGACTCTAGTCAGTCTAGTAGCTCCCACTTTCTGTACCCCTCTATGCACCCCAAGTCCAGTTTTTTTTCCTCTGAGTTCTGAGGCCTATAGGCTTGTGAGTTGCTCCCTCCTTCTTTAGTGGCCCATCTGTCCTTATATCCCAGGCTGTGTCAGCTGTCCAAGTGCAGCCATCTTCTTGTTTATGTTTGTAGATGGGGAAGGTAAACAGACCACTGATCTGTGTGCATGATATAGGTAGTGGGGCAGATGTTCAAGCAGACCACTGGCCTTAATGCCAGCACTTTCAGACCCGGATGTCTCTGAGAACCACACCTGCCCAGACTGACTTTTCTCCATGGAAGACGGAGCTCTTGTGTCTCTTCCATCTGAGTTTAAGCTTTTAAGGTGTCTCTGTCCAGCCTGCCTCCACTCCATGACTGTCTCCCATGGCCATCTCTCCCCCAGTGCTTTGGCAGAGTGACACCAGAAGTCCTGCAGCATAGCTGCTTTGCAGGTGCTCTGTGGCTCAATCCCAAACAATTTAACCCCTTCTCAAAATGACTGCATATTGAACCCTTTGTGGGGGCTGATCAGGCCCCTAATCTAATGGACAAGCTTATGGAAAATAATAAAAAAAAAGAGACAATGCAATATGATTTGTTGGGGTAGGAAAGTCAGAGCTCTTGTGGCTAAGATAAAGACTTATCTAGACTGGCCAGTATTTATTGGGTCTTTAACATATCAGAGCAAAAAAGGGCAACAGACATCTAAGGCAAAAGGGTAAGAAAATGAGCAAGGCCTTGAGAAGTTATAACAAAGACATTCCAAACAGTAAATCTTGTTAACTGAGAGAACTGTCTTATCTCAAAGGTTGGCGATTATGCCCTTTGAATTCTGAGTGAGTTAATATCCTCAGCTTCAGACTTATCTTACCATCAGGGGTGTCACAGTGTCACAGACCACTACAGGTCTCTACTGTGATGGTTAGCATGGTGAGGTCTGTTTTCTTCACAACACTGCTGACTCTTTGAGCAAGTCACCTAGGCCTGGGACAGATTCATCAATTAATTTAGAAAGACAACTGATTAATTCTAAAGACTGCTCAGCACCACTTCAAAGTGGTCTCCATCAAACTCTGTCAGATGTGGTAGAAGCTGTGCTAGAGTTCCTCTCCAACTGCAGCCTGTCTTGCAGAAGTAGTCACTTTTGGAGTAAAATGCCACTCTGCTTCTAGTTTATAGTAGTTGTCAGCTTCTCTTGGGCCCAGTGCTGCTGTGCCAGTTTGATGTTTTCTCCTGGATCCGCCAACCCTCTTGTGTTACCCTGTGTTAGCAGAGACAGGGCCTCAACCCTGGGAGCTGGGTGAGCCTTCCAGACAGACCACCTTGCTTCTGTCTCTGCACTGTGCCATCTCTCCAGCTACTCCATAGTTTCCAGTCTTCCCATCAGCTC